AATACCTCACCGATCCACCTTGCAGACCTCATGTGTGTTCTGCCAACGTTACGTTACTGGTCCAGGTCACTAACACTTTGCTGAACGAAGCTGTGCCATCGTAAGACGTAGGTCCCCTGTGATTCTGTCACAAGCCTTGTAACAGCTCAGCTGTTTAGCATTCTATTGCTCTCTGTTTGCTGTGCTGACAAGAGAGATGACTACTCCCAAGAAGGGGAAACTGAAGTGAGCGATAAGGCCTGTGGCCAACAGACACTTGGCATCCCCCTGGCATTAATCAGAACTTGTATTTTTTAAAAAGCGAGATTGGTAAAATAAAATGACAAACTTGTGACTGATTTTTCTCTTTTCTCCCCCCCTCCCTTGAGTCTTGCTGGGCTACCATATTTTGCATTCAGAGACTAACAGGTGCATTAAAGTTACTTGATTTCCTCATGTTGGATTGCTAAAATAGTGTCTGGATTTTTCCCTCAAACAAGCTTCTTTAAGTCAAAGCGAGTTCTAAAAGCCGTAACACTAAGCAAGTCATTTGAGAAGGGAATGACTAAGGCAAGAAAATCCAGATGACACTTCTGAGCTTCTCATTTAAATGATTTATAGGAATTCATACTACTTGAAAAAGGCTCACAGGAAAAAATAAAAACAGATTTACATGTTAATTGCTGGAAGATACAAGAAACTTTAAGAAGTGGGATCATCAAGATGACAATTACTCACATAATCTGAGAAATGGGTTCTTACTGGAGAAGCGTCGAGATTACAGCTGCCTCTTGCATAATCGTTCCTGCACAGCCAGGAAACGAAGGTGGCACCCAGTCTGAAGTCTGGATCTGTGCAGGGACTGTCCCTTTGTTGGTCCTTCTTGGCATCTGGCTGCACAGAAAGCAAGCTGCCTTAGCAGCCCTGCCTCACTGAGCTGCCCTGCACGGAAATCACAAACATTTCCCTTCTTTAACATGTATTTTGAAGGAGCATGCACTTCCCACACTTGAGGGCCCTCAGCTGGTTACAGCTGCAACACTTTGCAAGAATGCTTTAGCATTTGTCAACCAGTTCAGTTCCGGCTCTCAGTTTTGCTCGGATTTCTATAAGAAATACTAAGAAAAGGAGTTAGGCAGAACTGAGGACACAGGAGTACTTCATATATCTAAACAAGTATTCTTGTTTTTTTTTAAATTTAAGGAACAAAACACAAGTTATAAACACATAAAATTATAAAATATACATAATACAATATTGGTTGCAAGGCAAAAGAACAGATTGTCTTCTGAGATATCAGATTTTTAAAATCTTCTTAAGATTTTTTGACAAGTAAAACTTAGGACAGGAAGATGACAAGCTTGTCGAACAAAGGAGGAAGGCCTGGATTTATTTACACCTCACAGGCTGTTATCCAGTGGGCTGGACTACAGAAACTGTGATAACAAACAGGGTAAACACCAGCCTCGACAAGTCCACTACCCAGTCAGCACTACATGGGCCAACACGTGATCACTCACAGGGAACAATTTTCTCTAGCGCATCAAGCCCAATCCTTTAAAAACCACTGGAATTGATAGCTACAATTACTGCTCCTGGAAGATGACCTCCTCAGGCTGTTACATATTTCACAACAGTTAATCCAAACTACTCGTGCTGGAGTTTATACCCACATAAGTCCATTCACACTCATTTTAGCTCAGCTCCCCCTAACCCAGTTATTATCTCTGCTCTAGAACAGCATCTGCTGAAGCTACCCTTTTTTCCCCTCCAAAGTAGTCTTTCATTTCCTTAACGGTGTGTCACAGAATCATAGAACAGTTTAGGTTGGAAGAGACCTTTAAAGGTCACCTAGTCCAACTCCCCTGCAGTAAGCAGGGACATCGTCAGCTAGACCAGGTTGCTCAGAGCCCCATCCAACCTGGCCTTGAATGTTTCCAGGGATGGGGCCTCCGCTACCCCTGTGGGCAACCCATTCCAGTGATCCACCACCCTCATAGTAAAAAATTTCTTCCTTATATCCAATCTAAAACTACTCTCATTTAGTTTAAAACCATTCCCCCTTGTCCAATTGCAACAGGCCCTGCTGAAAAGTTTGTCCCCATCTTTCTTCTAAGTGCCCTTTAAGTACTGGAAGGCTGCTACAAGACCTCCCTGAAGTCTTCTCTTCTTCAGGCTGAATAATCCCAACTCTCTCAGCCTGTCCTCACAGGAGAGGTGATCCAGCCCTCAGATCATCTTTGTGGCCCTCCTCTGGACCCACTCCAACAGGTCCATGTCCTTCTTGTGCTGGGGGCTCCAGAGCTGGACTCCAGACTCCAGGTGGGGTCTCACCAGAGCAGAGGGGCAGAATCCCCTCCCTCGATCTGTTGGCCACAGTTCTTTTGATGCGGCCTACAATACAGTTGGCCTTCTGGGCTGTGAGCACACACTGCCAGCTCACGTCCAGTTTTTCACCCACCAGTACCCCCAAGTCCTTCTCGGCAGGGCTGCTCTCAATCCCTTCATCCCTCAGCCTGTACTGATACTGGGGGTTGCCCCAACCCAGGTGCAGGACCCTGTATAGTCTGCCTTGCTGAACCTCATGACGTTCACACAGTCCCACCTCTCCAGCTTGTCCAGGTCCCTCTGGATGGCATCCCATCCTTCCTGTGTGTCAACTGCACCACTCAGCTTGGTGCCACTGGCAACCTTCCTGAAGGTGCACTTGATCCCACTATGTGACTGATGAAGATGTTAAACAGTACTGGTCCCAGTACGGACTCCTGAGGGACACCACTTGTCACTGATCTCCATCTGGACACTGAGCTGTTGACAGCTATCCTCTGGCTGTGACCTTCCACCCAGTTCCTCATCCACTGAACAGTCCACCGATCAAATCCCTGTGTCCCCAATTTAGAGAGAAGGATGTTGTGGAGGACAGTGTAAAAGGCCTTACAGAGGTCCAGATAGATCACATCCGTAGCTCTTCCCTTGTCCACTGGTGTAGTCACTCCATCATAGGAGGCCACTCATTTGGTCAGGCAGGACCTGCACTCAGTGAAGCCATGCTGGCTGTTTCGAATCACCTACCTCTCCTCCTTAGCATACATTGTAGGAGGAACTGTTCCATGATCTTTCCAGGCACAGAGGTGAGGCTGACAGGTCAGTAGTTCCCAGGGACCTAATTTCTACCCTTTTTTAAAAAGGGTGCAATGTTTCCCTTCCTCCAGTCACTGGGGACTTCCCCTGACTGCCATGACTTTTGAAAGATGATGGAGAGTGGCTTGGCAATGACATCAGCCAATTCCCTCAGGACTCTGGGATGCATCTCATAAGGTCCCACAGACTTATGTTCAGGTTCCTCAGGTGGCCACAAACCTGATCTTCTCTTACAGTGGGAGGGACTTCGGTCCCCTATTCCTGGAAAGCTGCTGTCTCAATTCCACCCAGTTCACTTGGCAATGAATCCACCTGGCCCTCTTGTGGTCCACCCACTCACGAGGTGTGGGAATAGAGCTTGCCAGTGAAGATAGCGGCAAAAAAGTTGAGTTTCTCAGCCTTCTTGTCTGTTGTTACCAGTTTGCCATTCTTGCTCATCAGGGGGCATACGCTTTCTCTGACCTTCCCTTTCTGGCTGACATACCTGTAGAAGCCCTTCTTATTATTCTTTGCATCCCTTGCCAAGTTCAACTCCAGCTGCACCCTGGGCTTCCCGACACCATCCCTGCACAACTGGGCAGCATCCCCATACTCTTCCCAGGATACCTGTCCCTGCTTCCACTGCCTGTGCATTTCCTTCATGTCCTTTAGTTTGACCAGCAGGTCTCACCTCAGTGCCTTCCCTTCCTGGTTTCTTACAGCTGGGGATTGAGAGCTCTTGAACTCTATGGAAAGCATCCTTACAGATCTGCCATCTCTGTTCTGCTCCCCTGTCCCTGAGGGCAGTTTCCCAGGGGGTCCTATTGACTAACTCCTCGAACAGCTGGAAGTTTGCCTTCCTGAAATTC